TTAGGAGGGTGCCAGCCTTATATAGGAAAAATACATGAGAAAACCACCTTCGGAAAATTTCCACGAAGGGTTATGGTTAGGTCTCCATGAATTCAGACAGCAAAATGGACATTGCCAATGGATTTGGAGGGCTTGATTATGCTTAGGAGGGTGCTGAGTTTTCAAGCCAGGCTTATCTATATTTCTAGTAAAATACCGTATTTTTCCATGTATAGGATACTACTTTTTCTTTAAAATATTTACTTGAAAATGAAGAGGTGTCTTACACAGGAGGCAAAGAGGAGAAAGCCACACATGCTGAATGAGCCTCTATTTTATATTCCTCTCTATTTATATTCCTCTCTATTGTAGTTGTTTCCTGTATCACATTGCCACTCTAGGTTTCATTTCTATTGTTCCTGTGATGCATTTCTTGTTCTTGTTGTATTTCTCACTCTGACAAGATGGCTTCTGCACAGTGATGGCTTGTAATGTGCTTACTACAAGAAACTACATGAAACATAGAGGTGTCTTATACCTGGGGGCATCTTATAGACCACGGGTGTCAAACTCAATTTCATTGAGGGCTGCATCAGGGTTGTGTTTGACCTTGGGGGGCTGGGGGGGCAGGGGGCATGGCCAGCTTGATGTCACTCATGTCGGGGGTGCCTGTGCCAATGAAAACCAGCTTCCAAGCTCCATTTTCGGCTGGGACGGCCTCCTGCAACCCTCTGCCAGTGAAAACGGAGCTGGGGGGGGGGGTATGTATGGCCCTCGCAAGCTCTGTTTTCAGCTAGGACAGCTTCCCACAATCCTCTGCCAGCAGAAATGGAGCACACGGCCCTCCTGAGCTCCATTTTTGCTGTCAGAGGCACTGCAAGCCAGTCCTTCACTGTTTTCAGGGCAGCCCCGTGGGCCAGCTCTAACCCCGTGGGCCGGATCCGGGCCGGGGCCTTGAGTTTGACACTCCTGTTTATAAATGGAAAAATATAGTACATGGGATATTTAGAGCCTGCCTTATCTACATTTCCTGGAAAATACATGGGGAAAATCTCCTTGTTGGGAAAATACAGCTGGGGTTAAGGTTAGGTCTCCATGAATTTGGAAATGGACATCGCCTAATGGATTCAGAACACTTGATTATGCTTAGGAAGGTGCCGAGTTTTTGAGCCAGCCTTATCTACGTTTCCTGGAAAAATTCATGTTTATGAAATTGCCTGTGAACTATGTGTTGCACAATTATTTAAAACAGAACAATATGTAAAAGTACAGTAACAAAACAAGAAAAGAAATTCAATATTTCATCTGAGTCATGTTTTGTATATGGCAGTGTTTCCCAAACCTAAAAATTGCCCCAAATTAGGTAATTTGTTCCCTTGGGTAACAACACATTAATGCATTATCAAATCACAATAGGAACAGTTAAATAAAGACTTTCTAATAAGCGGTTTTGGGTAATGTAGAAAAGAATTTGGAAGAACTGGCATGTTGAATCAGCAGGAGCATTATTTTAAAGAAAGAAAATGAAAAGAAGGGATTTTGTTTAGATACATAAATATATAACAGCAAATCTAATAGCAAACAAAAAAGAGGATACTTTCACCTTGGTTTGGTTGGTTGGTGGTTAGGGTTGGGTGTTTTGTTTTTAATTCCATTGCCACTAAAATATTAGCTCCTAAATTAAACTTTACTACCAGCAGAAATACAAGTCTGAATGTATAGATCTCAAAAGTGCTTTATATGCATGAATTCATTCTGATAACAGGTGCTGGTTATAAGTGTGAAGTAATTTAAATGTGGGCTAGCATGAAAAATTGAAGAAAATTCCCCATAAATAATAAAAGCTAACTATTTTACAGAGTTTCTGTTTCAATAACCTCTTTTAAGACAGCAGCAACTCCTATATGGCATTTCATTTTGCTTTGTTTGCCAGCCATGTGCATATAATAATAGATTTTGAAATGTGCATGCTGCTTGTTTTTCTGCAAGATCAGATCACACTTGCCCACATCAGAGAATCCAGTTCATCCACAGGGCAATGCCCAACAGCTCCGCAGCGGCCTGAAGCAGACCACTTCCTCCTTCATATTCCGGATGCCTTACAACCACTCACATTTCCTTTGGGGCTAGGGCATGGCTAACATTTTGCCTTACCACAGAAGCCATGTATGCCCTTCCTCCCCTCCTTTGTGATTACACTACTTCTCAAACTGTGAGGTAGCTGAACAAACTGTACTTTTAGAATAACCACTGATTAATAAGCAAAGAAAGCAGATTATAAACATATAATCTGCCACAGAAGATAGTTGGCTCCAAATATTTTAAAACCATAGTATCATATATAGTTCTGTGCTTTGCTGCAAATTCAGAAGCTAAGAAAAGTTTCCTATGAACCAGTAAATGATTAATAATTATTAAACATCTAAATAGCTCCTTAAGCATTCTATGACTCGCCTTGAGGCAAGAGGGATGGCAAATAAATCTAATAAATAAATAAATAAAAATATCACACTTGTCCCTTAAAGGACAAATCTTATTTTTAATGTTATAAAAGAAAATATATATCACAAGCAGGTGGATCAGAAATTGCTTTCTTAGTATCAGAATTAGATTGAATTCTCCACCTGTAGAATGATATCAATCAAAGTCCTAAAGGTGCTTTTTCCAAAACGCTTCGCTTCTCATCCAAGAAGCTTCTTCAGTTCTCAGACTGAATTACCTGGCTATCCATTTAGGTAAGTGGTTCTTATACTGTTTGAGATAATTAACTCTTTCCTGATATCGAATAAGGTCATTACCCATATCCGCACCCAAAAAACTTTACTCAGACATTGTTTTATAAAAACATCTCAATAGTAGCGATCCCAAACTGAATCCCCAACTTGCAGATGATTTACATCTTTAAGCAACAAGAATTCTACATGGCAATGAACCTGATGTAAGGTACAGTCTCCCTAATTGTCTTCTCAGCATTTAATCTATGGTTTATTAATATCCAAGGCTATGATGAGAACTGATCTGGTGTGGTCAATACTGAAGCTCTTAAGCAGAAGGAAACTGCAATCAAGATAGAGAACAACTGTTACCCTGAGGAGAAAGGATCAAATTAGGCTTTCAGTGCTTCAACATCTTATACTTCCTGGATAACAACGGTATGGTAGAAAGGAGTTCTATTTCACTTGAAAGTGAAGGTTATGTTAGCTGCTCTTGTGGCCCCTGAGGGAGGTAGAGAGGTGAGAGGACTGGTACTTACGGCTGAACAAATAGTTTTGACTGCTTGCCTGTTCTCACTGTCAGAACATTTTGAAAATAATATGCTTAGGGCCATAGGCCTCAGGGAAGAAAATGAGATAGAGATAAGTAATAAAAGAAATTTAGGTTACAAACAATAATTATTTTGGGGACAAAGGAAGGGAGGTAAGGAGGGAGGGAGGGAGGAAAGCTAGGATCAAAAACACTAGGGGGGAACTAGGATATTTGGTAGATTACATTTACTAGATGAAACATCTTTCAGCAAAGCCACAGAAGTTTCCAAAATATTATGCAAGTAAAGTATGTGACAAGAGAGACATCAAATTGGGTTGATTGGGGACAGAGGTTGAGTTTCGTATTGGGGTTTTATTTCGGTAAGCCACATGGTGTCACTGCAAGTGAGCTGGCAGCCATATCAATTTTCTACATAAATACTAAAGGAGAATGGCACAAAGCGGTTATCATTTTAACAGGTCAAACAACTAGTAAAAAGAGTAGATGCTGCTATTAGTAACATCACTTATTTTTCCATACAATTATTTATTTGAAAATCTGGATTTTTGTTATTTTGTGTTACTTCATTTGTATAAAGCTTAAAGAGATTATTTTACAAATTATTTCACACTTCTACATAATACCAAAAATAATGTTTCCCCCAAAATAAGACCCTGTCTTATATTTTTTTGAACCCTGAAATAAGCACTTGGACTTATTACCATGCACTCAAAAGCCTAATTCGGCTTATTATCAGGGGATGTCTTATTTTGGGGGAAACAGGGTAAATATCTAAATAAACTTGAATAAGTGGACATTGATGTCTTTAGATTTGTAAATTGTGTTTTCTGTACTTTTGTAGTAGGATTTTTATTTGACTTTAGTGTCAAAGAGTTTAGAGACCATAAGGTAACACTGAGATAAATAAAACATTAGTTCTTCTATCTAGTTATTGGAAGCAACCTCAAAAAGAATCAGAAAGAGGGTCTTCCTCCCCCCTCTCTTCTTTTTCACCCTTTCTCTCTTTGAATTTACCAACCACAATTCTATTCTGCATTCTCATATCCTAAAGCAAATTAAAAATAGCAAGCAATGTGTTACATCCATCCACGCATCCATCCTTAGCATGAGCTACAAAATTCCAAAAATGATTCCAAAGTCACAGAATAACAACTGATGCAGAATCACAAACATTATGGTTTCATAGAGACATAACCTTATGTCTCCTTGGCCAACTTTTCTATGACAAATTGGCTTCTCCATAAGATCTAAGAAAATGCAAAGTTATGCAATTTTAATTATGTTAGAATCTTAACTATGGTTGCACATGATTTTAAATAAAGCTAAGAAGATAATTAACAAATTGTTTAGTATTTATAGTTTTTATTAGCAATTTTAATTCATATTTGGCTATTCCTCACTTCCTGAAATGCTGCTTTAATCCACTTAGATATATATGCATGTCTTTGTATTATTCTAAGCAGAATCGAGCTTAGATTTTCTGCTGTCAGAATTCCATTGGTTGATCATTATCTCATTTCTTTTTTTTCGCCTACCCCACTCATCAAAATCTATCCTGGAGATGTATAGTGCATATTTTGAAGAGGGATATACAGAAAGAAACACTGTGTGAGCAGAATGGGATTATGTTTTACTTTCAAATGGCTTTAAATATCCTGCTTCCATGTTCAAAGCAGACAAAGTAAATCAAATTATGTACAATATAAATGGGAAAATACACTCTAATTTTCAGTTGTACAATTATACTCAAATACCTGAGTAAGAAGCTGATCATGTGTTAAATTATTGATCCACCTAGTATAGCGCTCAGTAGCTTCTGCTGGTTCTCTCTTAATTTGGCAACCTATAATCTGAAAATAGAAACAAAAACATTTTGATGAATGCAGATAATACAACCAAAAATGGGAAAGGTATTTAAGAAATGTGTTGAAGATTTTTTTTAAAAAAAATCTGTCTTTGAACTACAGAAGATTGCATTAAGAGTCTGGCAAATCAGATTCATATAATTGGTTTTTATTTTAATGGAGTCAGAATCAGTATTACCGTACCTTTCACAGCATAGTGTAACATCATTATTTCTATAATAGTTGCAATTTTAGCTGGAGAAAATGAAGGATATGTTTTCAATATTCTGCTCTGTTTACATGCCTTTTCATTTTTCTTCCTTTGTATCATTGTAAGCCATCTATAGTAGCCCCATGGTGACATAAACGACAAATTTAACAAATAAATAAATATAAAAATAATTAAATTATTCTGCATACTATATACAATTAGTGTTTATTTTGTATTATTTTCTATCATTTACAAGTTATTGCACATGACACTAATTTATTAGCAAGTTATGCAAAACCTTTTCTTTCCAAAATTAAAAACAAGCTACATGGCAGATTTGGCTAAAAGTATAAAACATGAAATTAGTTTTTATATAATCATGCAACTGAAATGGACCATTGAGACCATTACATCCATCTCACTCCTCAAAGTTAAGAAATTCAAATAAGATTTCACCTATTCTATTTTTGTGCACTATTTGCTTTCTAAGTAAATAATTTTGCATCTGTTTCTGTCAATTATTTTTAATATATTACTCTATGCTATCAGTTTGAATTTAATTATCATTCTACAATATTACTATCTCACCCAAAGTTATGTTAGTGGCAAATCTGATAAGCATTTACTACACTTCATAATCCCAATAATAGATATAAATGTTAAGGTGTATCAAGGATTTAATCTTGTGGTATTCTTGAAACTTCACTTGCATCAGCCAACTACTATATAACTACTTAACCAGTTACCAGTTCACATTTAATTAATTAGTTTGTTTATTAAAATGCTATCGAATATTCTGTCAAATTTATCTATCAGAAACTATTCAGAACCTGAGAAAGTAAATAATCATTTGCAAAACAATACCAGCTCAAAACACCTGCACATTCCTCCAGTATTACGAAAACTATTAGTCAGTTCTCTTGTTCTTCAAATAGTTTTTACCGAGAGAATGAAGAAGTCCCTGCCCTAATAACCTAAAAATAAATTGGGTGCTAAAGTGAAAGTATTCAATTGCTGAGATTTCTCAACACTAATCCCTCTTCTAATTATAAAGGACTTTACAAGAATCTTGTTCTCTGTTTGAAAGAGTTTGAGAAAACCCCTGACATCATGGTATGTTTCTGATATCAAGGTATGTTACATTCAGCACCAACTTTGCTTGTTGGAAGCTTTCTGGAAAGGATGTAAATGGCAATCACATTACTCCAAGATGCTGCAATCATTGTGAATACATGCTGATGGCCAAGTGCCCACCTTTTCATGTGTAACTGGATGGTTGAAAATCATTTTTCAATCACTGTAATTTTGAATGGTCACTAAACATGCAGTTATTAAGTCAAAGATTACCATATTTTTTGGAGTATAAGACGCACTGGAGTATAAGACGCGCCTTAGTTTTTGGGAAGGAAAATAAGAAAAAGGCTGATTTGCGGGCGGATCGGTCTCCCAGAATACCCCCAATCATCTGTTCCCAGAGGTGAATTTTAGCAACAGGTACGTTGGTTGTGAGCTCTGTGCCTTGCTTTTTTTTCAGCTCCTGAAACCTCCATTTGAGAGGCTGGGTGGGGCTACATTCAGAGTATAAGACACACCCAGATTTTTACCCTCTTTTTTGGGGGGGAAAGGATGCGTCTTATACTCTGAAAAATACGGTACCTGTAGAATTTTCATCCTCAATAAGTACTGGGGTTACAAATTACAAACCACCAAATGTAACAAACTTATGTTATTTACACTGTCATATACTGTAAGTACTCTGATTTGAGTATATCAGTTGCCATCAATCCAATCAGCTATTAAATAGAAATACTGAGCCACTGAAGGAAGGTGGAAGGAGTCACTGGATAAGAATTTATCCAGATAAATTCCAAGATAAATATTTATAATAAGAAAATGTGCTGCTTGCTCATATTCCATCAGAATAAGGTTTCCATGGTATCTTATCCATTTAAAGGAGCATTATTTTAAAGTACAGACCTTTCTAAACTAATGGCAGATAACTTGTTTTCATTTAAAAATGAGATATTGCTTGTATCTAAAGTTTCTTTTCTTTTACCTTCATTTTTATTTCATGAGTTTTATAAAATAAATCTGATGAACATGAGAATTATATGTGGGGTAGTTCAAAAGAATAGATGAAAACAAATACGAAGTGCTGGGCAAGCACAATTCTGCTGATCTGAAAGGCATTTCTTTAGAAAATGATAAGAAAGCTTAGCTTTTGTACACAAAGCAGACTGACCTGGCCAAAGCTACACAAATACAAATTAATGAACAGCTGCCAAGAGGTGACAGATTAGCCTTAGTTCTGCTTTTTTAAAGCCACATTTCCAATTAAAGTACAGTACAATGTATAAGCTAGTCAACTCCAAATTGTGAAAGACATTAATGAAAGAGTAGCCTGGCTGTAGCCATGTTCGTATCTTTGAAATATCAAGAAACCATATTAAGGCTTCTAGAAAGTACAAGGCATTGTTATCCATTAGCTGTTTGTGAATCAGATGAACTAAAAGTAGCTGGGTTTTAAGAAAAACTAAAGGGCAGCACATTCAGGAGAAAACACATTTTAAAGCTTGCTGTTTCAGAACTTATCATAAAAAGTTGCCAAATTGTCAATAAACAAGATTTACTAAGCATGAAGTAGTGGACAAGGAACACAACTCAGAAATATTATTTAAGCTCCACAATTTTCTCAAAAGAAATTTATGTGGTGTTTGTGTATGTGCATACAGGCACATATATCTGAATAGATGAATGGCATCACAATGAAAACGAATTTCCATCATCTTCTAATGAGAAGATCTGTAAATATGTTCCATATAGCCCACCAATTTTTTCTCTCATCTAGTTATGTCCATTTTCAGCATGGCAACCAATTCATATGATATTACATTCACATAATACAGACATTATTACAGCTTGTCCAAGTACATAGTCCTTGCAGCTTAAAATCCAAGGATATTATAGCTCAGAAGATTTATAGATTGAGTTTATTGTTCAGTTGTTGTTCAGACTAACAAATTTAAAATCATTCTATTTATTTAAGATATTCTAAGCCTCTTCTCAAAATAACATACTACAATTTAAGGTAATTATTTGGGGAAGCTGATCTCCTGGTCTTAGTTATAATATTCCATGTCCATTTAAATATTAAACTAAAACATACAGAACTATTGAGAATTATTCTAATACTTGGCCCACAGTAGAAAAGACCCTGTTATTTAAGCATCCCATTACTATTTAAGAGAAGGATCTCAAAACACAGCAGATAGTTAATATTTTATGGGATGATAAAAAACACATATGAAGGTTGATACCCACTCATCTGTATTCCCTGTATTTTAGCTCATCATGCTAAAAATTCCAGAGGAGATTAGAAGACTTGTTCATAGGTAATAAACAACTTTTGAAAGTAAGTACAGTCCTTTATACTCTTTTAAAAAGTAGTTGTGTATTCCTTATTGGAACATTCTTATCCACTCAGAATTTCAACAATTTTTCTCTGATTGCTAGCCTTTACTTTTGGGATAAGATATAAAAAAAGTCTCCTTCAACAAATTATCATTCCTAAATTCCCTGTCAAATCTGAAGCAAAAACCCCTTTGTCGTGTTGATGGTTACTGACCACAGAATTGCTTCTATTGACTGCCCATTTTTGAAGCCTAGATGTGTTATTTTTGAGAATTGTAGGGTCTCATCATCTACCAGAAAATATTTTTAAAATTATATACCGTATGTTGTGACAATCTGTTAAATCAACAGTTTTAGGCACTGTGTAAAAACAGGGATGCTATCATTTGTATATTCCATTAGGATCTTACCATCTCTTGGTTAAAATGATGAAGATTGACAACCCCTTGAGAATGAACATTAACCACTATCTTCTACCACTAATGTTCTTCTGTTTCAGAATCAGAAAGAGGGCATAGGAGTAAAACAACCAACAATTGTACAACATTCCAACATAACTGTTGTAACTGTTGCAATTCGTAAATGTGTAACATTTCTGTTAAGATTTATAAAAAGCAGAATTTATTCACATTAAATTAAATTAAATTAATTTAGTCACATTAAATTAAGGAGCCTGGATAGCTCAGACAGAAGCACTGTAATTTAACACCAGCTGTCTGCAATTAAAGTAAGATCAAATCTCGCCAGGCTCAAGGTTGACTCAGCCTTCCATCCTTTCTAAGGTAGGTAAATTGAGGACCTAGTTTGTGGAGGCAATAAGCTGACTTTGTATAAATATACAAAAGTATGAAGGCTATTGCTTAACGCACTGTAAGCCGCCCTGAGTCTCCGGAGAAGGGTGGCATATAAATCAAATTTTTTAAAAAAATTAAATTTATACCACCTTTCTAAGAACAACCAAAGAGGTATTTTTAAGCAATATAACTACAATTATTTGAATTTGAAAAATCTCATGCAGTGTTTCATCTACTTTTTTCTGCATGATCATGATTCTATTATTCACATTTTTTATTTTCCTTTCTGTATATACCACTAATGGAATAGAAAGAAAGCAAAGAAGCAATTACCACCATCAAAATATCAGTTTTAAAGAAAAATACCACTGAATTTAAATTATTTTGTTTTAAGGTTATAATATTGTTTAAAGAAACAATATTATAAAAGCAAACCCTAACAATCTATGCCTCAACTTCTTTGTATTAAAACCTGTAATAGGAAAGAATGAAATGAAGATGCTACAAAATGCTAAGAATTCCACTATAATCTATTAAACTTTCTAAATGTCCGAGAAACATGTAGCTAGGTAGTCTCTTGTTATGTAACT